TAGAATTCTAGATGCGTGAATTTAACACACAAAGCTATCTTCTACAGTTTGCATTCGAGATGAACTGTTTATTTAAATATTTTAGTAGTTTCCTAGGACATAATGTATAGACTATATACATAAACAGTTTTGTGCTTATCTTAAAATATTTTCCAAATATGACATCCGTTTAGCAATAAGAAATGAAAGTTTTATACGGTGAAAACTGCAAAACACAAGTGAATTTCCTTGTTTTTAGCTACCGGTTTTAAAAGAATTAATTCTCTCAACACTGGAACAATATTTGCCAAAACGGATACGATTTTTTATTATTGTATTTTTGATTCTAGATGCATGAATTTAACACACAGTGCTATCTTCCTACAGTTTGCATTCGCGGTGAACTAGAATATCATCATCTGCACGACTCAGATAATCTGATACGACTAACATTCAATGGTGGGCTGTTCGGAGAAGAATCCCGCATAGTAGCTCTGTGCGTATTACTTATTCCCACGAACTGCTGTAGAATCTGACTGCGGGCTGTGATTACATTCCACCAGTCATCCTGAAGTAATCTATCATAAAAATGTGCATCAACCACTACGTTTCTAATGGGCTTTCTCAAGCGTAGTATATTGCAATGAACATCATAACACAGCTTACCTGTTACCGAATCATCACACACACACGTTCGATATAATACATTATAATTTATCTAATATGTTAATAAAATAAGTTTAAATAGATCATATCAGACATTTGCAATATTATTAACCTTGAAACAAAAAGAAATATATGTGTATGTGTTTTGAATGTAATAACGAAGCAACAGAAGAAGCATTCGTGATTTTATCAGAGGCAAAAGTAAAATTTTGTGAAAAACACTTGTAAAGCAAATATCGAAAGATCGGTATGTTAGTGACAAAGGTACTGTGCTTGTAGTCCGCCGTATTTAAGTTACCCACGAATCGAATGACATTTGTAAGAAATGTTATATCAGCTGATTTTGGTGAACAAATAAAACAATTAAACTTTGTGCACTATAAGGGAAACGACATTACGATAACGAAACCATTGGGTGGATATATGATGAATTTTGTGTATGTGATGGGTTTAGTAAGGTTTAGTTCCAATCACCCTTGCGTGATGTGTACAGTTCACAAAGAAGATCTGAAAGTGCTAGACAACACATCTTGCTATGATACTGGAAGAAAAGCACCAAGTTTTTTTGAACAGAAAATGCAATTGAAACATAAGAGAAATAAGAAAAAAAACACTGTTTTTGGTGACTTATTTGAATTCAATGATTATGTCATTGATACAGTGCACATGCAATTGCGTGTCTATGATCACACATTAGATGGGATTCTAGTTCATGCTTCACAGCAAATAAAATATGGTCAGATGCATGTACTAGAGGTGGAGGAGAAAACTGAAATTCTAAATAGACATGTGAATGGTAAAAGGAATAGGAAAAAGAGTATGTTTCAACTAAGGCGAGGATCAGAAGCATGGTAATGGAAAAGATAAAGGAAAAGGTATTCAGTTGAACGAAAAACTTTCGGTGGAGACAAGACCTTTTTCTAACACTGCAGCAGGATTGTTGTTAGCATTATTCTTGCTGCTGTTAAATGATATAGCAAGCAATGTTAATAACGATAAATTCGAAATACGTTCATTTTTACCAACACCGAATACTTCATTTTTATTCTTATGTTGAGTCAGTTGAATTCGAATTTGTTTCGTCTTTTAAGGTTACCTTTGATGGTGAATACACATTTTTTTCCGTTCTTTTTTGGTCTATAGGTCTTAAATCAACAGGTAATGTATGTGCGTTCATAGGTCAGTCGGTTAAGAGCATCGATAAAGAAACATACTCTTTTTGTCGCAGGTTCGAATCCTGCGCGATGTTTTTAATTTTTTTCTCAGTAATCGGGGAACCCATTTAAGATAAGTATGACGTACCACTAAATCGATCATCGGCTGGAAGATTCCGTAGGTTTTGCGCTGGTAACCCCCTTCGAAAAACAGCTCCAAATCCTGATATGTCTTACAATATACAGCAATCTTAAAGAATAGTCAAAAAAGTTGGGACAAGTGAGCATGATTGTGAGATATAGTGGAAATTTTGTTGAAATATTGCTCAAAACGTGAGGAAATACCCCAGAATAAATATCCTGATATGGGATACTGCGGATCGTACATTAGTTTGCTTTTTTCATTTTTTCATCGTATTATTTTTTACAATGTAGGGGAGAGTAAAAGGAATTTGAACCCTGGTTAGTACGAATTTCCTTGTTGCTCTTATCGCATGCGTTTAGACATCGCTGTTTACTTTTTTCTATAACTAACCTCTAGTTCATCGAGAAATGTTTGCACCTTCGAATCACATACTTTTCAGAGGAGATCGTAGATGTCCTTACAGCATGTGTCTGACGATATGAAGCAAATGAGAGAAGAGACAATCAAAAGTGGATGCACTTAAAAGTAATCCTTATTGTTGTATTAATTATTGAGAAAATGAACGTCATACTTCGGATATATATGGCCATCAAAATAAAATGTGATCCTTAGACTTTATTCAAGGATCTAAAACAGTTGTGTATGTTTGTATTTGCAGAATATGTCCGTCAGATAGTTTATCGATGAGAGCTATAGCCGCTAGTTTTATTAACGGTGACCCAGAAGAAATGGGCCTTTCATTATTTTCCATTTTTCGGAAAAGATTTTAAAGAGCTACTAGATGACATATTTTTTAAACCTGAAAACACTTTTATTTGCTGGTGGCTTACGGGAAGTAAAAAGTTAATCAGTCATTCTGTAGATCATAGAAAGCTACCATAAGAGCGAATCTAACACTTTTGCACAGTTTTGTTTTGCAACTACAAGCTTTCACTCCCGTTGTTTCTTCTTTATTTATTTCTGATAGTGATCTGCGTCATAATGCCGTGTACGTTAATACAGTGCATAGCAGAATAGACCAGGATGAAAAAACACATACCGTTTTATTCGTTTATTCGTTCTAGACTATAAGAACAACGAATTAAGTCCACTGCTTTGTTTCTTTGCACGTATCAACGGCAAAAGCATTTTTGATCAAAGGCAGAAATGTCGACATTTGGTACTATATTTCAAGTGACAACTTTTGGTGAAAGTCATTGTGCAGGTGTTGGATGCATCGTCCAAGGGGTTCCGCCACGAATGAAACTAAACGAAAGTGATATACAAGGACAGTTAGATCGTCGTAAACCAGGGCAATCGAAATTGACAACACCGCGGAAAGAACAAGATTTAGTTAAAATATTATCTGGCACAGAGGCAAATTTAACGCTGGGGACGCCAATTTGCCTCGTCGTTCAGAATCAGGACTTTAAACCAGCAGATTACGCTAATATGCTCGATATACCACGTCCGTCACATGCTGACTATACTTATCAGAAGAAATATGGCATTCGTTCATCGTCCGGCGGAGGAAGATCAAGTGCAAGAGAAACCATCGGACGAGTAAAACTTTGTGTAGAATATGATGAAAAGGGCAAATTACTAATCTGATTTGGTTGTTGTAGGTTGCAGCTGGAGCTGTGGCTGAAAAATGGTTATATGAGAAGTATGGAATAGAAATTATTGCTTATGTAAGTGGCATCGGACAAATTCAAATACCAACGGAAACGGAAGCATTACTCAAACAGTCGATGCTAAAAAGATCAGACGTCGATCAAAATCTAGTACGTTGTCCCGATGAGAAAACAGCAGAATTAATGGTTCATGAAATAGAAGCAGCCTTAAATGACCAAGATTCCGTTGGTGGTATCATAACATGTGTTTGTCGGAACATTCCTGCTGGTATTGGTGAGCCAGTATTTGATAAATTAGAAGCCATGCTAGCACATGCTATGCTCTCTATACCAGCCACCAAAGGTACATACAGTTTTAATAGCCTCTCCCATGAGTTTGGATAAAACGTTTGCTGTCAAACCGTACACAGGAGAAGTAAGACAACTGTCGAGCTGATATTCTCTATTTGTTTCAGGCTTTGAAATTGGTAGTGGATTTGATGGAACAAAGGTGAAAGGCTCACAACATAATGATATGTTCACAAGTAAAACATCCTCTTCCGATAAGAAATTAGGAACTAAAACGAACAATAGTGGTGGTATTCAAGGTGGCATCAGTAACGGCGAACCCGTGATATTTCGTGTGGCCTTTAAACCACCAGCCACCATTGGTAAAACGCAAGAGACTTGTACATTTGATGGTGAAGAATGTTTATTGAACGCCAAAGGACGACATGATCCGTGTGTTGTTCCAAGAGCAGTACCCATCGTAGAGGCAATGGCAGCGTTGGTTTTAGTTGACCAAATACTTATACAACAATCAAGAGTTAACAGCTAACTATGCGTGAATGACCTCACTTAATAGACAACTACCGACTGTTATGCTGTTACTAATGATTTTCTTAATGCACTATTTTCAAGCAGGTACGCGCCAGTTAAAAGCTGGTTTGGGGGCATTCGGGAGAATTGCTATACATCAGTTACCAAGATTCGCTCATAGCTGCGGAACGTCTCATTTTGTAGAAAAATGCTTTAAGTTTTCTTGAAATGATTTTGAAATTCTTTTAACAGATGCATTTTGTAGAGCAAACATTTTTCTAAAAAATGAGACGTTCCGCAGCTATGAGCGAATCTTGGTAACTGATG